AAAACTATCAATTAATATTTTTATATTTAAGAATCTTATTTTTAATTAATTGTTTGTATTTTTCATTATTATTCAGTAGTTTTTGCCATAAAACATTGTTAATAAAATGGGTTTCTGCATTTTAAATTTTCGTTATTTTTTATCATTTTTAATGAGTTTATTATGCACACTAATGGTCTCAACAATAAGTTATCTAATAATATTTTTGAAACCATCAATTAATATTTTTATATTTAAATTTCTTATTTTTATTAGCATTTATTAAGTTTGATTTTAAGTGGAATTGAAACATATTTTTAATATTTACTAAGTTTTGTTAATATTTATTTTTAGTGAAATTTTAGTTGATTTTTAAATTAATAATTTTTTGATTGTTTAAGCTCAACCTATTTATATTATTACTACTCTCTCTCTCTCTTAAATGTAATAATAACATGCATTAAAATAATAGGCCTTGGAAAACCCAAAGGTCTCTCTCTAATAGTGTGCAACTTTATTAAAATAATCAAAATAAGCAATGATTAATGTTTTAGATTTTTAAAATAAAAGAGAATAAGGAAAATACAAAAAATGGAAAAAATAGATAAATAACTCATCTCAAAGGAGAGGCATGCTAACATGGACAAACCAATTTTAATATGCATTTGTTTATGATATAATTGCCGAATTCGGGTACAACATTTGTGAGAGCTTGGTTGTCATAAAAAATATAATGATTAAAATGTCAAAAAGGTTTTCTCTTATATCTTTGTATGGTGAGAAGTGTACATTGTTGTACCCATTTTTTGGATACAAATTTGTGTGCTCTTTTATAGTTTGTGTGTTTGACCAAATCTTTAAAGCATTTAATGATGGGCCCATGTTTTGCACCAATTTCAAACAAACATGAAAAATACAAAAAACGGGTTACATTTTGCATTCTTGAACCGGAAAGAGAGTATATATATATATATATATATATATATATATATATAAAGTACATATTTGTGTTTGCATCATAACCAAATGCAGCCTTAGGCTCAAATTGGAAAGAATACAAACACATATGTAGAGTGCAAAACTTTGTATTTCATATTAATTTGCAGGTATTTGTACTGCATATATTTGTATTTGTACTCTTTCCGAATTGAGTCTTAGGCTGTCTTTGATTGCAGTGTAAATTTATTTGCACCAGTACAAATGCATGGGAGTGCAAATGTAAAAAATGCAAACTTTTGTTTAAAATAAGTTAAAATTTAAAACAAAAATAGGTCAGAATTTACATTCAAATCATTTACATTGCCATGGTTTTGCATTAGTGCAAATTTATTTGCATTGCAACCAAACACAGCCTTAGGATCAAAATGTGGGGTGAAGCCATCACCAAGGCACCAAGTACCCAACTAAATGGGTTGGGATGAAGATTGTCTTCATGGGGCCGAGGCGGAGATGGGGCTTATAGGGATCCTTACTCATAATGGGAATAGCGATGGTGAGCGAAGTCCCTGCCCCGACCCAACTTATATGAATTTGGAATAGCTAAACACGATGGTTGTTCAACTAACTGTGGAACCAATGATGATGTTCCATGCTACTAATAAATTCATGGGCCCCATTGAAAGGTGCAGGTCCCATTTATTTTAATACTAATATGGAACCTTATCATTGGTTTAGCCTATTGAACAACCATCACATTCAACCAAGCCTTGCTCAATTTATATATATTAAATATTATTTACATTAAATATATAGTATTATTTGTATTATATATCTATATTAAAATTTATTTTATCTTACATAAATCCATTTAAAAATTAATTGAAAATTTTCAGGGATTCATGTCCCTGACAAGAAACCTATCTCCATCGAAGATCAAGGACGGGCATCAAGGTCAGGGACAACGACTTGTTTCAAAGTTGGGGCTAGGGATGGGGAGTAGGGTCCTCTCCTGGAATCTACCCTATTACCATTCCTGTGATCTTATGCTCTTAGGGTGGTCCCACTTAAGACTTTAACCCATAAATATAACAATAGTCAAGAAAAAAAGTAGATTGCAGAAGATTATCACCCTATAAGTTGGGGGCAATTATAATAAGCCTTCTAACTTTTACATGTGATAGAAACCCCTTGAATTTTCGATTCCAACACTTTGCCCCATCCACTGTCATTCAATCAACTTCCACAAACATTCCCATGCAACTATAATGTGCTTGCTAAACATTTATAGATTCCCAAACTACCCTTTTTAGGACCATTTTGATTTTTTGTCGTTTTTCTTTTATCTGTCATTTTCTTGCATCTATTCTATATAAAAGGGATGGTTACATTAAGTTAGGGTAAATTGCTGAAACCTCTCTTGAAGTTTATGATTGTTGCTAAAACCTCTTCTAAAGTTTAGTAATTACAATCACCTCCTTTGAATTTTTTGATACAGCTGCAAGTAGATCCCTTCGATTAGAATCCTCTAACAAGAGCCACAAAAATTTTCAAAATATCCATGCGGTTACTATTGAGGCTGGTTACTAAAAAAATAATATAAAATTTGTAAACAATAAAAAAGAGAATTTAAAGTTGCAATTACCTTTGAGTGATAGATATGAAGGGCAAATTTGGAAAATAAATCAATTTCAAAAAAAGTATTGGAAGGGTTTGGGGTAGTGATTCATATGAAGAGAAATTTTAAAAAGTAAGCATTTTTGTCAAAAGTAATTACATGGGCATTTTGGACATTTTCATGCATCTTTTTAGAAAATTCTACCAAGGATGTCTACTTGCAACTATGTCAAAAAGTTTAGGGGAAGTGATTATAATTATCAAACTTTATGGGAGGTTTAAGCAACAAACAAAGACCTTAGGGGAGGTTTTAGCAAATTACACTAAAAGTTAAATCCACACTCACTAGATATTATATATGGTTAATACTGATTTACTTTTCCTTCCATTTTCATTATTTTCAAATGTCATCCTTTCATCCATATAAATCTTGAAAGCATGGTTTTCAAAACTGGGCCGGACCAGAAAAACCGGGAACCAATGACTTGGACGGTTTTGTTTTACCCCAGAATCGTCATTTTGGCAAAAAACCGTTGATTTGGTCAACAAACTACTGACCTAGGCGGTTGAACTGTTTGAACTGTCCATCGATTTTTGGCCACTTTTATTTATTTTTTGTCAGAATGGGCCATCTGCTCGGTTCAAATGGTCGGACCGTTCGACTCGAGAACCGGACCCTGAACAGTTCGTTGTTCAATTCAATTTTAAAAATGAATCTCGAAAGGGCATTTTAATAAATTAGTTTTTTTTCCTATCAATCTAGTTAACAAAACCTAGCACTCACTCTCTTACTCCAAACCTTGCGGGTATTTAAGGATACACAACACAAGGTATTGCTCTTGTCTACTTCCACTTTTAGCTCTCACTCTCTTAAATTCCCAAGCTCTTTAGCTCTGTTTGCTCGACCTAGCCAACCTTATCTCTCCTACCCACTAACTAGAGGGGGGTGCTCCTCCCCGAAGAACCACCTCGAGGCCTCTAACATCGGTTATTACAGGTTATCAAACTCTCATTAGCTCGTCCAATACAACTCATCTAACACAACTTGTGTATCATAGTTCATCCCACTCAACTCATTTAGCTCAGTAGAACTCATCTATTGGTTGTCCAGAGGGTGATATCCTGGGCTTGTAACTCCGACAGTCAAGTCAGTTATGCCGAATTGGCTAACGGGTGGTTGAGAATTCAATGAATCATAAAGTATGAATTGAATGCTAACATGCCCCTTATATAGGATTTGGGATGCCTATTAGAGTATGTGTGTGTCGGACAAATGTGGGATACATGTCGTAGCTTAAGATACCTGGAGCTTGCTCTACCTTGGTGGAACTCGGGTAGGACACCTGGGGTTCTGTCAAGACACCTGTTACTCGAGCTTAGCCACATAGTACTTGGTTCAGACATTTGTAGCATAATTTAGGCCAGTTGGTATTTGGTCGAGAAACCTGGAACTCGGCCCGGACACCTGGAGTCCAATTAGGGCTACCTATTAAGCCACGTGTAGCATGCATTGCCCACCTGGTGCATAGCTGTGACATGCTGTGGCGATCTGTTCTCCATGTTTCCAATGTATGAAATGGGCTCGGGACTAGCTATCTAGTAGGCTTACCTTACGTATTGACAGTCTTACTACATGTGCCGCCAGTTGATTGTTTGATAGACAAGTGTCAGAGTGTGGAACTCTCCTAAAAGGGAGTTTGTCTTGCTAATAAGGAAGGAACTCTCTTGGAGAGAAGCTCCTCTCGACAGAGAAATCTCCTCTCGGAGGTCAAAAATGCCTATATGTACGAATTGAGTTGAAAAGGCCGAGATGGTTTTATATGTCCTCAAAGTGACTCTTATCCTTTGAAATGACAACAAGATGACAGAACTACAAACCAAAGGCAAAATTGCAAGTCCACCTAAACGTATCACGTGTTCCGTAGTTAAAGACGTCGGATTTACTCTCATCACAACTCATCTAACACAACTCGCCTATCGCAGTCGCCGGATTTACTCTCATCACAACTCATCTATCGCAGCCCATCCCACTCAACTCGTTTAGCTCAGCAGGACTCCACCCCAATTCGGACAACATCAGGTCAAGGGAATCATTTGATCAAATAGGAAAAGTCATCAACAAAATTAAGGAGCCACTACCATGCATCGACTCCCCAACTTGCAACTCAAAGGGGTCATGGAGTCAAATGGGGAAGGACTTTATTTCAATTGATGGATCAACCATTGGATGGTCCAACCTAGTAGATTAGCTATGACAAAAACCAGCACGGGCAAAAGAATTTGACAATCTCATTTTAATTCTTTTAATTAGATTGTAGAGAATTTTTCTTTGATTCAAGGAAAGCTCCAACGATAATGCTATTTGAGTATTCAAGGCATGTTAGAGTGAGTTTTTTTTTTATTATTTTTGAATAATGCATTTGATTGGAAAACAAAGTGTAGGAGAAGAAATATTGGAGTTGGAGAGATATGAGAAATGAAGAAAATGTGATCCATGTACTCAAAGCATGGAAACATATAATTTTTTTTTTCATATTCGTGAATGTTCAGGCTTGGCAAAAGTAATCAAACTTAAATTGGGGCGTGGAATAATTTGTTGAAAGTATTTTGGATGCAATCACTTCATTTGCAGCTTCAGTGTAATGAACTCCATCCCAGCTTACAAATCTCGATCCTTCCTTACATACATTGGATCCAATCTGGCTACAAGTCACGTTGATGTTGTAGTTGTATGGAGGGCCACCATTGCCACAACATGCCATGAGAGGCTTCTGAAAACCTGTCAAGACACATGATTTGTTCAAGGAGAGCAATTCATTATTTAAATTCTTTTAACATAAAGTTATTAATTTACTGTTAATGACTCACCGTATTTGGTAGGGTTGGCAATGAGATCATACTTGATGGCGAATATATCTACATAGACAATGGTGCTGTTCCTCAACTCAGATCTCATCTGTTCACACAGAGCAACCAGCCCTCCATTGAACACTTTTGCTGCATCATTGTAAGATCTTAAACATCCATACCGATCCAGATCACCCCTGGTTTTGGGAACCATCGTAAGTTTTTGGGGTAGGCAACCTAAAGGCCCAGTGCTGTGGATCCAGAAATTCCTGCCGCCTTGGTCATAAATAGTCTACAATATTTTATTTATAAAAAAACAATGATCAGATAAAAGTTTCTCTTATAAAGGTTAGTGATTTGATCAAACAACCATGCACAGTGCAAAAGTTATGCAGGACTGTCAAAACCAAAGCTGGGTAGTTTGAGTTTTAGCACATTCTGGTACATTAAGAGATCTATTAAACAAAAATAAAAACCACAGGACCAATTTCAGATAGAACTACCCTAATTTGATCCAAAAGAAAGTAAGAGATCGAAGCTTCCAAGAAAGTTCTCCTTTGTTCAACTTCAAAGCCAAAAAGTTTTATGCTTGTCTTTGTATTGGAAGAACTCCCAAGTCCTAGTGAGAATTAAGCAGCCCAAAATTTATTTAAGGGATCAATGAAAAGCAAGCATTATGATGGATATAAAATGTTAAAAAAAAGCTCACCTTGACAGCGTTTTTAATTTCTGCAAGGATGGACGGGATTCTTTCGACGACTCGCGCATAGGATAAGTTCTTAGAGAAGGAATCTGCAAGATCATTTTGTCCGATGTCGATCATGTAAAGAGCATTTTGGAATGCTTCACCATCAACCAGATGTCTTGAATCTGGAAAACAGAGTTTAATAATAAAATAAATCTCAGTCAATCCATTTTCTACACTTTCTATAGGTACCCCATAAAGCACATCTTCAGCGTCAGAATCCAAATATGAAGTGTATACCTCTGGTGGTGATTTGCAGTGAGCGAGTCTTGAAATGAAGGAATTGCATTACTTGAACATTCAGTGAGAAAGGAACAAATCTGGGCAGGGTGGCCGAACCCACTATGGCGAAATTTGCTCCATTTGTGAAATTAGACCCCAGAGAGTCCAGATACGGGCTCAAGTAACTCGTATTCAAACTTTCGCCTAGATATTCATGAAATTTCTAGTTCAGTAGAGTAGAGAAATGACATATTAAGATTAATAGCACGTGAATGCAACTGTGGTTCTTTAATTGCTCAGGGTCTGGCTAACTCAAACCAAGGGATCAAGCTAAGTTTTGATTGGGTTTCGAACTTCAATTCCCAATCCAGAACTCCGAAGACCAGTCCTGGCAGACCGCCCATTGCCATCCACCCCCCACAAAATATCAAATCGAATAAAAAATTCACAAAATCACAATAGACCCGCCACCATCTTCGATGTAGGCTCAAATTTGACAAAAATAGCCGGTGGGATTTCTGATTACTTGGGCATCCATCGGGCCTTTCAAAGACCCTTTCAGAGTTTCGGTCTGTTACCAAAAAAAAAAAAAAAGACCCTTTCAGTCTGTTAAAACTCTAACTTCTAACTTCTAAGCCACGAAGGTCGGCAACAATGGCAACCGTTCACCAAGCGGTGGCCGGGGAACCCCAACTCTCCTAATTGAGTCTTGACCTGTTGTCCTTTGTTTGTCTTTATGTTTCACGGAGTTTCTGTCACGGGCCCCGTGACGGTCAGAAGGTGTCAGGATTTCCCTTTTTTTAACTCAAACGCGTACTCCAGAGTCCTGGCCGACTGTAATTTTATAGTGCAGCTGCTCGGGGTTCAGTGACAACAGGCTTTTTACTTATGGGGAAATGGTACCATTGTCCCGTCCAGCACGTTGCATGTCATGTCTAGTCGGCTACAAGGAAATCGCCATTCTACTGGATCGTTTTGATTTTATCAAATTCAAACCTAACTCCACCTGATCTGATCTGAGATAGCAACTCTAGCCTCTAGCGAGTCGAACCGAATACAAACTGGACCATCCAAAAACGAGTAGTTCCCAGGTGAATCTACCGTCGGAAAGAAACAAATCAAATAAAAAAGAATGAGAGCAGAATGTCGAACATCTCCCATATTCTAGCCCAGAAACCCAATGCTTTGATGAGTTTGTTATTGGTTGATCAGACACGCATAGTCTGTCGTCGAGCCACGCAAGAAAGAATAAACAGCTAGGGAATAGGGATGACGAAACAAAAATGAAGGGGAGCACTTACAAAGAAAATCGATGACTAATCGCCCGTCGGACAATCTGCCGGTTGATCTCTGGAAGAAGGTACGCCCATAAGGCAGCCTTATATTATAACCGAGTCCGGCAACGAGTCCGCCGGTGTCCGAGTTGGAATCACCGAAGTTGAAAATAACGGGGTTTTTGCACAGAGAATATGCGGGGAGGGGAAGAGAGAGAAAAAGTGTTGCAATGATAAAAGGGGCAACGGAACGACGAGTTTCTTTAGATTTCCGTCCACCACCACCACTAACCATCTTTCCTCTTTTTCCTTTGTTGTATTCTTTTCTGCTTCGGTTCGGTGTTTTTATAGGGTAAACCGTAAACGTGCTCAGACCAGACCTCAGACCCTCAAGTCGATGACAATGTGACATTATTACTGTTACATGGATGAGCCTTTCTTTTCACCATAGCTTAATAATGGTCTACAATCGGACGTTTTCAGTGCTTTTGTCTGGCTCTAAGATATTTGGATGGTTCCCCTAAATCGAGACCGGATCTTCTCTTCACAGTTACATTCCACCATGCATCGGGAACATCTCCCTTACTTATATATTAGTATTTACGGGAGATGTTCTCAATGCATAATGAGATGTGCTTGTGAGGCCGGTGTGAGGAGCAGATCTCAAGTCTCTCAAATTGAGTTCGGATTTGTTCTTCACAAAGGGTGTCTCACACCGACTTGTATTTATTAGGGTAAATTATAAAAACCCCATTGTATTATGAGGATCTTTATTGCAAATTGAAGTATAAGGAGTCTTTGTCACAAATTGAATTATAGGAGTCTTTATTGCTGACCCTATAGTAAAAGGGGGTCTTTGTAATTTATCTTATTCATTATTCATGGGGAGTTGTTCTTAATACATGGTGGGATGTGGTTGTGAGGCACACTCTGAGGAGCAGATCCCAATTCCCTCAAATCCCTGAAACTATTTAAATAGCCCTTGATAAAGAATATTACATTGCTAAAACCTCCCCTAGAGTTTGATAATTGCAATTACCTCCCTTTGAAACAGTTGTAAACCCTTCCACTCATTTTTCCATATTGATTTATTTTCCAAATTTATTCTTCATATCAATGTTCAAAGGCATCTACTTACAAATTTACAAATGTGTGAGGTGATTACAATTATCGAATTTGAGGAGAGGTTTCAACAACGATCATAAACTTAAAGCTTATGTTTGTTTGCAATGTAAATGACAGATCAATGTTATATTACACTCTGGTTTGGAGTGTAATTAAACATTGAAAATCAATGTAAAACCAATGATTAAAGTATCAAGTAGTGTATCAAATGATTCAGATACAAAAAAAAAGCATACGATTTGAAAACGCATGGATTTGAACGAAAAAATGTGGAGACACTTAGATACGCTAGAGGAATGCATATAAATTTCATAAATATATTAATTATACATAATTTAACGTTGAAGTAGCCACAAATAATAAATAAATGCATATAAACTGCATTATATTTAATATACCGAGATGCATAGATATCATACAATTTTATTTGATAATGCATCAATCAAGAGTCCAAGACATATTATTTAGATTTTTACAAATTAAAACATACGAAAAAAGCCATTATTATTTTATTTTCTGTTAAAATCCAAGGTGCAAAACATATGCAACTATTATATTTGAATTATATAAATTATTTTCTATTTTACTAATTTTTATTTTTAACATTAACAAAAGTTGACTAAAAAATTAAATCTCAAATGTTTGGTAAACAACATTTTTACTTTTTGTAAGAAAGTAAATATATTATTATAAATTATACATTAATATATCAATTAACAATTTATAAAAATATATAACCTTAAAATAAAATATATCAAATCTATTAAACTTTAAAAGATGCATACCATATGCAAATTCATAATTCTTAATTAATAAACTAATTATTTCATTATTAACATTTTTTAAAATAAAAAACAAATTTTTGATATAAATATATAAGTGGATTTGATAGATTCAAATTATATTATGTTTTTGAATTATGTGCTTTGCATGTGACAAATTTTGTGATGAAGATGATAATATATAATATATTTCCAAAATTTTTTACAACTTTTTATATTTTTATGTTTATAAAAATTATTCTTATTTATTACACTTATTATGATTCACTAATATACAAATATGCCCAAATGCTTTCTACATAGATTATATATATTTTTTATCTTTAATATTTTCACAGGGATCGAAACACCTGATACACATGTTTTACTGTTGGTGCTTATTGGGTGCATCAATACTTGAACCATGCTTGGATCAAATCCTGACTTAACGTCAAGCTGCATAAGTGGTCTTTTTGCACCCGAAATAATGCTGCGGTGGCTTCAAGCATCATGAAAATGCCCAAGGAGTTATTGTAGAACCCAAAGATCAGTTTTATTGTCTCTGCAATTAATGCTCTGGATCATAGCAACCGGCTTGAGTAGCTTATTTTATGTACTCGTCATGTTATTAAATAAATCTTACGAAGAGGTTACGTACCAGTTATTTATTGTGATTTTAATATTCAATTGTGATGATGAGCGATTTGGGTTATGTTTGGTTTAATTTTCATTCTTTTTTTATTCTTATCCAAAATGAAATTCTAAAATGGATAAGAATGGATAAAAATAGATAGAATGAGAAAATATTGCTATGAATTTAAATATTTTTTTCCTAAAAATGAATTCTTTTTAGACTAATAAGTGTCCTATGTAAAAGTACTTTTGTAAAAGTGCTTTTATAAAAGTACTTTTTTCATAGAAGTTCTTTCATAAAAGTACTTTTGCAAAAGTTCTTTTGTAAAAGCACTTATAAAAGTGCTTTCGTGTAAAAGTACTTTTATAAAAGTGTTTTCATAAAAGTGCTTTTATTAAAGCACTTTCATGCTTTCGTAAAAGTATTTCCACGGTAGTCCGCTAGTAAACATTTATGGCAACAACTTTATAGGCAGAGTTTCTCCAAAGAATGAAAATGAGCAAGATGGGACATGATTGTTTTTGATGCTGTAAGCTACCTCAATTTTTATGGTGTGGGCTGATTTTTCATTCTAAAAAGAATGTGGCCCATTGTTACGGTTCAAAGCAGGCTTAGCCTTGCCTACGCTTGGCAGGCTTACGTTAGGGACATGCCCGTCATTTTCGCTTGTAAGATTTTTGGGAGAACTGATGTCATCTTCTGGCAGACCACCAAAAGCTTAACGTACTCTTTGAGGAGGGGTGGTCGACCTCCTTGGGTGCCTAACCTTGGCACTCCTAGACCTTCATCCCCTTGCGGGGTGGCCCTGGTTAACAGCCAGCATGGCTACCAGGGTTCCTCATGGGCGCACACTTGCTCATGGGGACAGTGTTGGACCGGCACTGCGCTACCRATACTCAAGGGAGGCTTGGCATGCGGGCCTGGCTCAAGCATGTCCCTTCACCTCGCCAGCCCCTTGCCCAAGCTGATTGAGCTATCCCGTTGCCCCTAGTGCACGGGTGTGTTCCGGCCCAAGCGGTTGCCTATCATCATAGCACACAGGTGCCTGTCATCATCGGCATACAGGAGACCCCTCACATCGGTGCCAAGTCACCTCATCGGCGCATGGTCGCCTTGCATTATGGTTGTCCCCCTTTAGCACGAAAGCAGCGCCTCCCATGGATCGGTCTAAACCAGGAGAGTGCCCCGACCATTGGACTTGAGGTCATGATCCAGTGCTACTGACTTTGGTGGAGCCATCCCTTCGGGCAACTCCTAGCCTCTAAGCGCATAAAGGCTTGTCCTGGCCTGCCTTGACCAGGACGCCGCACGGGTTTCTTCCGCTGTAGAACTACCCCCGTGACACCATGGCAAGAATTTTGTAACCAAATACTCTAATGTTATTCATTCTTGCTCATTCTTGCCCAGAATGAGCAAGAATTAAAAGAATGAGGCACAGAGCAGTGAACCAAACATGGCCTTGGTAGTTTGTTGCTGGTAGACCTGTTCATGGGCCGGGCCGGGCTTTGATAAAAATACTTTTGTAAAAGTGCTTGTGATTTCATAAAAATACTTTGATAAAAATACTTTCATAAGTGTTTTTGTAAAAGTACTTTTATAAAAGTACTTTTTCCATAGTTCTTTCATAAAAGTACTTTTGCAAAAGTTCTTTTATAAAAGCACCTTATAAAAGTGCTTTCGTGTAAACGTACTTTTATAAAAGTGTTTTCATAAAAGTGCTTTTATTTCGTAAAAGTACTTCCATGGTAGTCCGCTAGTAAACATTTATGGCAACAATTTTATAGGTAGAGTTTCTCCAAAGAGTGAAAATGAGCAAGATGGAGCATGATTGTTTTTCATGTTACAGGCTACCTCAATTTTTATGCTGTGGGCTGATTTTTCATTCTAAAAAGAATGTGGCCCATGTCAAGAATTTTGTAACCAAATACTCTAATGTTATTCATTCTTGCTCATTCATGCCCAGAATGAGCTAGAATTAAAAGAATGAGGCCCAGAGCAGTGAACCAAACATGGCCTTGGTAGCTTCCTGTTGGTAGACTTGTTCATGGGTCGAGCCGGGCTTTCACTCTGTATTAATAGATTTTTCTAAGGCCCGAGCCCGAGCTCGGCCCGACCATCGGGACTACAACTTGGGCCCGAGCCTGACACTCATAAAAAGCCCGAAGCCTGGGCCTGAGCCTGAAATTTAGCCCATACTGTTACTACTACTGAAGCGGCTGAATAGAGAGAGAGAGAGAGAGAGAGAGAGAGAGAGAGAAATTATAAAGAAAAGAATAAAAAATGTATATATTAAATTATAAATATATATTTCAATAAATACTATATTATTTATATATTTTATATAATATATAAAATACATATTATATATTTTATAAAATATATAATGTTGATTCGGGCTGGGCCGGGCTTTTTTGAAAAATTTCGAGCCTGGCCCGAAACACAATTGGGCTTATTGTGTTAGGCCCGAGGTCAGGCCCGCAGGCCTAATTACATGACCAAGCCCGATCGGGGTGCAGGCCGGGCCATTGGGCTACCCGGCCCATGAACAGGTCTACCTATTGGCAAGTGATTCGAATGCTGAGCTAGACAATTCTTATTTGGAAGGTGACTCGGATGCCAAGCTGAATAATGATTGACAAGCTATATAGTCTACTGGGGTGACCTGCAAAGAGATAGTGTTAGAGTGCTTGGGCTGCTTTACCCAGGGTGGGCACTCCGATGCTTAAGTAAACAAATCAGAGATTTTTGAGAGAGCTAAAAATGAGAGAGTTAGAGAGCCGCGAGAACTAAATTGTGCATACCTTCTGAGGTTGGAAATGAGACCTTCATATAGGCATAAGGAACCAAGAGCTTCTTGTAA